ACTTTTAATGGTCATGTACATCCCTACTGCTCAGATTTTGGTTTTTGCTACTACTTTCCAACTAAAAGTAACTAGAACTCTTTGGGCAGGAGGTCGGGGAGGTAGCTAATCCCATGTATCAGAGCAGGAAAAAATTCAGGAAGGGCTTGGAACATCTAACTTTAAGAAATAAGAATGGTTTTAAGGATAACAGGAACACTGCTGAGAGTTAAAAGAAGCTAGTTTAATGGAGCTTTCACAGGCCAAGAATTAATTTGAGCATGAAAAAAAGGGCTAATTGGAACTAGATGAGTATATAAGAGGACAAATGTTCGTAATGATACTGAAGAGCAAAGTTAATAAAACCAAGTGTGTTAAAATGCAAAGGATAAATAAAAATTAAATTAAAGGATATAATATGGTATGTATGATGCATTATTGATCCTACAAATATACAGTGTTTTTTGCTAATTATGTCCGTATGTATATACACACATATTTGTATGTGTAAATATATTTATCCCTATTTAATCAGGAAAGAATAAACACAGGGGTGCTGGGCAAGCCAAATAATCCTGGAAAAAGTTGGAACAGTATCAAGAAATAGGAAGAACTGAATGGTCACTTAGACAAAATAGAAAGACATTTCAACAGTTAATTAGCTCTAATGGTCACATGCAATAAGCAAGTAGGAGAATTCAATAGTGTGTTCCAAAATGATGAGATAGCCAAATATTCTATAGAGGAAAACTGACCACAAAAACTGCATTCTTCAGGGCTGGCCTGTGGCTCACTCGGGAGAGTGTGGTGCTGATAACACCAAGGCCACGGGTTTGGATCCCTATACAGGGATGGCTGGTTAGCTCACTTGGGAGAGTGTGGTGCTGATAACACTAAGTCAAGGATTAAGATCCCTTTACCGGTCATCTTTAAACAAAACAAAACAAAACAAAACAAAAAAACTGCATTCTTCAGGAAGAAGGAGCTGGATGGCCTTATTGATTATACTAATAAGGCATATAAAAGCTTTAAGAAATACTAGCCAACAAGATCATTGTATCAAAATGACAGGACAGTGGCCAGATGGTTTTGGGAAAATTCAAGACTCAAAAATTTAAAATCTGTACAAAAGGTCTTAAGATGTCCCACGACATAACATGTGATATTTAGTTATAAAAGGAGGCCAAAAAATTTATTTTATCTGTGCGAGTAGGTCTCATAGATGACCTGACTGAGGATCAGCCAGTTGCTAATGCATAAGCTGCAACTTAGTTTGTCTGAGACAGTATTATTATGTTGGGTCTGGTAAGATTACTAAAACTCCAGGAAGGTATAAAAAAAGTACATGGTAGAACAATGTAAACCTAGGAACATATGAAAAATTGGAACCTTGGGAAAGTTCAAATAAGGATTAAAAAAGATTAAGCTCATGGGGTTAACGTTTTTGTAATTGGTTTTAGTGTAATTATTGTGATACTCTGGACATGTCTTTCCTGTTTCTTAAAGCATTTAATGCATTTAATAGAATCTGATGTTTTAGGTTTTTTATTTTAATGAAATGTTTAGATATGTTTAAATCTGAAGTCAGTGTTTAAAAGAGTATGGATATTTAATTTTAAAAATTATTTTTTATTAGTTGCAAATCTGTGAATAAGTAGAAGAATGATGACTGCTGCAAAAATGTCAATTCGTTTCTTAATAAACTGAACATTAATCAAAATACAAGTAGTAATAAGTATTTTTCTCCATGCTTACAAGCCCTTTGGACATAAATGTATCTATCAACGTGATCATCCTTTTAATAATCTGTTTTGAGAAATAGAGTCACACAAATTTTGGTGTTGAGCAGCAGTCTTTCATTTTATTAAGGTTCGTATATTTACCAAATGTCTTCAGAGTGTTAGACTGTTCCAGGTACTGTTTGTATCTACTGGATTGGGAGTAAAATGACCTATGTTATAGTGACATTTCAGTCTGAGAAACCCTGAATAACAAGTTGCTTATTATTATGTGTAGCTTAAGTATCTCTTGTCATAAAAGGATAATAACGTGGTGGGATGGACCAAATGAACTAGTATATATGAAGGGGCACTGTGTTGTCCTCCTAGACAGGAAAGGTTGTAACAAACAGGTTTTGGAATGAGTACTACTCCTCTGGCTCCCCTACTCTGAGCATCAGTATTGATGTCATTAATATATTTAGAGTTCTCTCCTTAACTTGGAACATTTTGAAGAGAACAAAGGACAACATAAGAATGAATCCACACCATAATGACACAGTTTACTGTACAACTAACATAAACATAATCATTTATGACCCTAAGGAATATATGATAGGATTCTAATTTACAATTCCCAGTTATGAAGAATTGGTATAAATCCTTGGCCAACTATGGTCTGGTTCAGTCTAGACACCTCTTTTTTGGGATTGTCCAAGTTCTGCTGATCCTCTTCTGAAAATCTCATAGTCTTGTTTTTCACCTGTGCTGAGATACACTGCTTTGTGCTGGAGCCCTTAGAACTCTTTGTGGAATACTCAGTTTCTTTTTTGGTTGTAAAATTAAGCTTTGATCAAGGTCTTTACCAATTGTAATTAATCATTACTTCTTTTAATACATACCTCTGCTGTCTGAGTACTTTACTGTGGCTCACTCTCTCCCTTCTTGAAATCTGTGTGCCCCATACTCTACCTCATTATGGCAAATGAATGTTAAATGTGGGTCCTTTGGGGCCGGCCCGGTGGCGCACTGCGCTAGTGCGCCGCTTGGGAAGCGCGGAGGCGCTCCCGCCGAGGGTTCGGATCCCACATACAGACCGGTTCCCGCTCACTGGCTGAGCGAGGCGCGGGGGCCACACCGCGGGGAGCGGTCCTGTTGG